CATCCAATCAGAAGCCTGCACTTCCCATAATTCCCACAGGAGTAGACGATCGCAGTACCAGATTCCTCTCTAAGTATTATTGTGTGGAACTTTATGGTTAGGGGCTTAAACTTCTTCCGCTGAAAGCTTCGAAGATGATGGCTGCCGCTGGTAGCAAGATGCACACAGTGTCGAAGGCGAAAGCTCTGCGATCAGGAGGCCAATAACGGGCGAAATGATGTATGTGCCAGACTCCGACGCGTGCGGCAAGGTAGCCGTCGTAGAATCAGGTGGCGCCGAAGTATCGTATGCCATAAATCTCGCAGAAAACTTGCAGGTGGCAGGCACGTGCGACAGACTTTCGTACAAGGGAACGCACCTCTCGGTTGTGAGGTCAGTCAAAGTGGGAGCGTCTTCTACCTCGTCGTCATGGTCAGGTGGAGGATTCGATGTTCCTGCGACCGGATTCGAGGTAGAAGTTGTCGTAGCCAAAGAAATAAGGTAGCCGGCACGGGAACTCTGTGGGCCGGTTGATACCTTGCTCTGCGACGCCAGGGAAACCTGCCAGGCAAGGGTAAACGAAAGCGGGCGGTATGTGTGGTCATAGCAGGCGAGCACTGCAGTGCAGAGGGCGTCATATGATTATGGGCTTGTGGTCGATTTGGGCAAGATGGCAAAATTCGACTGGCAGCGTGTCGAGCAAAATAGCGTGCATAAGCTGCTGGTCCGTGACGCCTTTCACATCAAGAACCTCGTCGAGCCCCATGAACCATGCCTGCGGTAAAGTCAGGTGGAACGGCGGCACTGGCGGGCAGAGTGGTGGAAGCATGGCAGCCGGTGGCTTGTCGAAGGGCGTGTTCTTTGGGTCACCAGTGTTGCAAGCATAGAGGAGCTTGAGACAACATCGAAGGCGGCCAACGGGGTTGTGCCAATCTCGCCACTTTATTTGTAGGCTGTAGGGGAATGGCGACGTCTGCTAGCATCCAACACGCCAGGCACGTGAACTCTTTCTGTGCTAGTGCAGCTTGAGCTAAGCATGAACTGCATGAGCGGCGTGGCACGGTGGCTAAAAAATCATGATGATGATGAATGACAATGTTGCTACAACATAAACAGTGCTCTCACAAACAGACAAGACTAGAGAATTGATCTCCATTCACTATGTCCTGCAAAATAAATAAAACCGCAAGTCCTACTTTCATTTCGTTCCTTTTGTATTTTTTGTAGCAGTGTCCCCTCATGGGAGACAAATTAGCGCATTTCGGGTGTGTTTCGTGAATCACTGTATGTCATTATGAACCTCCACCGATTGCCTACCTGTCCGTTATTCTGCAAAGAAAAGCAATTGGCTGTGCACGAAGACGGCGAGCTCTTCTTGCCCCTATTTACCCGATGAAAAGAGGCTCCTGAATTATTTATTTATTTATTTATCAGTACCCTGAAGCATAGGTCGGCCAAACTTGTGGAACTCACTCAAACTCACTCAAAACATAGTCTGAGCTTTGGACTCACTCGGATTCAGACTCACACTCATGAAACTTTTCCTTAACCGGTCTCACTCGTACTCGAACTCACCAAAACACTATTGACCCCGACTCAGACTCGGACTCATGGCTCAATCTGAGTCTGAGTGAGTCCGAGTGAGTCGACTCGGGAGTCCGCTAGCCTATAATAAGCTTCTGCGGCCATGTTGTCACTGCTTAACACAAGTATTTATTTCACGTTATCAGTGCTCTTCTTGGCGCTGCTTGACATTGTATCCTGGTAAAAAGAGTTATGAGTGCTTGCAAGCCAGGAAGGTCATTTTTCTTGGAAGAGATGACAGCATAAGATATGACTATCAATAACTTCCCTCGAAGAGTTATGTGGGCCTATGTAACTTGCACCTCGGATCGACAAATAATGCAATGGCGTATGAACAACAAAGCTTTGGAATCCCAGTGAGTACACTTGAGTGTAAACGTGAATCCAAATAAGACTAATAGTAAAGCTGAACATGACTGGTTAGGACCTTAGGTCAACAAAAGAAAGTGGAACTCACTCAGACTTGCTGAAGAAATACATATTGCGCTCTGGACTTTGTGGGGGTGCTGACACTCCCTGTGAAGTTGTTTGCGCTGCGTGGCGCACGTGTCTCGCACAAAAGCCATATTTAGGGGTGACAACTATTGAGCGATAGGTGGCGTGTTCAGGAGCGGTGATCACCACTATCATCATCATGGTTGGTAGAGCGGTAGCGCTGGCGGTGACTCCTGGTGGAAGGCAAGCCTTGATGGCAGGCGAGAGAGTTGAGCGAGTCTCTTTTGGCGTGGGGCGGTGGCGTGGAAGGTTGCCTCAAGCGGTGGGTCTGTCGTGGACGACACCGCCCGCTGTCTGTGGTGGGCCCACGTGGTGAGTCAGCCATTAGCGACACCGCTTTGTTTGTCATGTTGTTAAATAAAAAAGTAGTTAAAAATGTGTATTGTTTGGTTTGTTCCGACTGTGTCTGCTGTGTTCCTCCACGAGCATGGTGGTGGCGCTCACCATATGGAGACCCCACACTAGCGCCCAACGTGGGGCTCTTGGACCATCGGACGACAGCTTTCGTGGTTCGGTACAAGCTTTTGTTAAAGCCGGGGTAGAGGAGGCCTAAGGGGACTTCTTTGCTAGCGTCGGCGGTGTGCTTTGTTGATAGCGAGAAGATCAATATTTGTGACATGTTTGAACTTGTTTTTTTTTTCTGCTCGCAAGTGTTTTTTTCGTAGTCGGTTTTTTAGGAACGTTGTTCAGTTTGGACGAGAGCCATGCAGTCTGCGTCCTGGGGTGAGCAAAGCTTAGAGCACGTGGATTGTAGGCCAGGCCCAAATCGTGTGAGTACGGAAGCCTCGTGGGTGGTCTGATTTTCTGTAGCTAGCTTCTTCTATCTCTTTTCGGCTCAGGGAATAGGGCGTCGATGCTATCTTGTCTTGCGGCTCGACGCCGGGGCGTCGTGACGCCGTCCGTCGGTGGGCGCCGATCGCTCGGTACGCTGCTGTGTGGAGCGAACGAGTAGGGCCACCTTATAAGAGTGGTTGTCTCCTTGCGGCTGCCTCTTCTGTGCCTAGGCTGAGTGCTGGGTGGATGCTCATTAGGCCCAAGGCTCTGTGCAGCCGCCTGTCGCATGTGGCACAACTAGGTGGATCGTGGCGTGGAGGTGTTGCACTTTGCTTCCCTCACTTTCTTTGTTATCTCGTGATGAACAAGTTAAAAAAAAGTGATTTTTGTTTTATTTTGATGGGTGTCTCGGCCGCCGCCGATGTATTAGCTAGCAGTACTGACCATCGTACCATGTGGGCGAGGAGCCCAAAGCTCCCTTCCTTTTGGTCTACTACATTGTTCTTTCGAGTGTTTTGGAATGTACGCAACGGGAGTGATGTAACCCGCGGCTGGCTGTCTTCTTCACATAGACAGCGCTGCTGGCCAGGAATGCGGTCGTGAGGTTGGGCGATCAAGATGCCTGGGACCTGCGTGACTGCCTGCAGTCCGGCACCCTCATGAGTGCAGGTCACAACTGGAAGACATGTCGGCGCAAGTGACGGTTCATCACGCCGATGGCAACGTTGCTGTTGCGGGACCGGTACTGAGGTGGAGTCGTCGAGCCGGACAGTGCAGCAGTGTCAACCGGTGGTGGTGTCGTCGAGCACGGACATTATGTAGGGACATGGGTTGTCATGTTTTGTTAGAGCTTGTGTAGCTGATTTTTTTGTTTTTCGGGATATGGATTGAATTAAAATTAAAGGAATGTGGGGGTGTTGACACCCGCTGTAATGTTGCTTGTGCCGCGTGGTGCACGTGTCTCGCACAGGAGCCGTGTTTCGGGGGTGACAACTACTGAGCGATAGGTGGCATTGTGTTCGCGAGCAGTGATCACCACTATCATCATCATGGTTGGTAGAGTGGTAGCGCCGGCGGTGACCCCTGGCGGAAGGCAAGCCTTGGTGGTGGGCGAGAGAGTTGAGCGAGTCCCTTTTGGTGTGGGGCGGTGGCGCGGAAGGTTGCCTCAAGCAGTGGGTCTGCCATGGACGACACCACGGGCCGTCTGCGGTGGGCCCACGTGGTGAGTCAGGCGTTAGCGGCGGCGCCTTGTTTGTCATATTGCTGAGTGTTGTTTACTATTGTGTAAGGATGTCCTAGCGTGTTGATCACGATTGATGTTATAACAATTTGGCTGACGATATCGTTGATCAAAAAGTTGTTAAATAAATGTGTGTTGTTTGGTTTGTTCTGACTGCGTCTGCTGGGTCCGTTCTCTCTAAGAGTGTGGTGGTGGCACTCCCCATGTCGAGACCCCACAACTCACTTAGACTTACACTCGGCGAAATTTTCCCGAGCCAAACTCACTCGGACTCACACTCTCGAGAAATTTCTTCAACAGGACTCACTCATACTCACGGCTCAATCTGAGTGAGTCCAAATGAGTTGACTCATGAGTGAGTTCCCCAACCTGTGCCCTGAAGTCCCAAACGCACTATAGAGAGGAGTGGTGCATTGAGAACGAATAAGAGGTAAACAGTTACATCGAAGTAAAAATGATACAAAAAATAAGATATTAAGAAATAATAGCTAGTAGATATAACAGCATCGTAGTGAGAGTAAAAAATAAAATTGCTTATGATGCAGGGTTAGCCATGGGAATTTATTGCTTCTTGTTTACAGCAAATCCTTCAGTTGTCAGTTCAGCAACTTGTGTCCTCATTTTCTTTTTTTCTTAAAAATGAATATTGATGTCCTTATCGGGGACTAGTATGACCATGCTGAAGCATCCCCACTTTTGCGTTTGACTTCAATGTCAGCATTTGGGGATCTTTGAAAACAGCAAATTGCCACCTCATTTTATATGATCTGCACCCGTACCTTTGCATAAACTGACCAGCTCTGATGCCTATGCGTGGCCCTTTGCTCCTTACGTCCACATTCAGCATGATACCCATAGGACTCTCCACCACTGTCCACGATATAAAGCAGACCACGACAACTAGTTCTTAGTTGGCTTCTAGAAATACCTTGCCAGAAACAAGCTCTGTCAGAACCCATGTACTTAGATTGAGGTGCACATTAACCTTGGGTGGTAGAAATTTTTGGAGCCCTCTACTACAGCAATCCTGACAACTATATCTCAGTTTTATGACGTAAAACACCAATCTATATCATCTGCAATTAATTCGCAAGAGCATAACATTGAATAAAAAGAAACTTGGCATTATTATAATCTGAAAGACTAATACAGTTCAAGCTTGTTAATTCAAACTTGAAGGGAACTATAGAATTGTTCGAATCATGCGGAGTTCGAATTAACAGCGGGCGCTAGAATGAACTGGCATGACAGCACGTTGCGTGGACAGAACCCAGAGTAGCCCCCTCGGGACTTTTTGTGACTTAGGCGCTACTTTGTTTGTGGCTGGTGATTTTGTGAATTACACTCGTTGAGATTATGGGAGCGGCGGTCGCAAGCGCACCTATTGTAGAAAGAGGAAGACAATGACTCTCACGGGTGCGCTGGGGGCACACGGAAGCTGCTGGCAGTGGGCAGTTGTGGCCGAGGCTTAGAGGAATAAAGGTTCTTGGACTAGCTTCGTGTCTTCCCTGCAGGGTTCTGGGCCGAGCAGCCTTGAAACCCCTACATCTGGCGCCCAACATGAGGCTCTGAGTCTGCGTGCAACGCACAGCCGTAATTAATGGTTTCACGGCGATTTCTCACGGTGTACAGAACTTTCTTTCCCTCCCTTGTTAGGGTTCATTTTGTGTCCACATGTTTTGACGGGATTTGAATGGCATAGGCTTCTCTTCTGAGAAGGCTCACCCCTGAATGAAGCAGAATGTCAGGCCATGGGATGCCTGTGCCCATTTTGTGAAACCGGTAGGTATACGGCGGCACGTGGGTTCAAACCCACGACCTCCCGCAGCCGAAGCGGACACTATACCACGAGACCACAGCTGCGGTAGGCGTTTCGATGTAAGGGTTTTGAGGCTGCTTGGCCCAGAAACCTGCAGGGAAGGCGCGGAACCAGACCAGGAACATTCTTCATTCCTCTAAGCCTCGGCCGCAACTACCCGCTGCTAACGATCGTCCTTGTGCTCCTGTTTCTACGATCGGCACGCTTGCAGCCGCCATACTACCCCCTTTCCCTTTGGAAAAAGTGGGGATCGAGGACGCAGATGAGGTCACAAAGCAAGCCCACACAAATGTCCTGGATAGCCTTGGCCACAGTGGGTCGCACATGGCGTACATGGCCACACGTTGGCACAGTTGAGGCCCAGCTCCTAGTGGCACTTCATGAGCCGACAGGCGCAGAAACTGTTCAGTCGCATGGCGAAGGCAACTCAACTCCTCCGCCACTCGAAGACGGAGGTACACCGGACTCACTCAGGTTGACGGCCACGGTCGTCGGCGAGCGCATGACAGAACGCCGGTGCTCCTTGTGCAGCATCGGCCTCTGCGAGTCGTAAGCCATTGTTATGTGTCATTGCTGTTGGAGCTGTCCGTACCGTTCACACATCGGGGGCAGCCACTTCTCCACGTGGTAGTCTTCAAACGCTGATGCTCCCGGCAGCCCAGAAGGTGTGACGTCTCCGTAGAAGCTTAGACTGCATCTGCCTCAGGTAGCGGGTTGCCTTTCATACTCTTATCTCGGCACAGCTTTGGTCGGCGAGCACAGCCACATCGAACACCAGGTCAGACACACTGGTGCAGTAGCTTGCTTTAGCTGCAGCCTCCTCCAATTGCTCCACGTTTTCTGTCGCCCTCTCTGTGAATTCCTGTCACCACTTCTTCAAGTCTGGGTTGATGTTTGCCCACTTGCCGCTGCCTTGTCTCAAGCTCCTCCATCAGTCGCTTGTTTTCCGTCTAAGCCGGGACAACCACCTGTTCCAGCTCTGCAAGCTCTGCCTGCAGTGTCTCTATTTCTACCTCACTCTTCTGCAGACCGTGCTTGAGGATGCTCTCAGGCTGTAGAAGCTAGACTGTGCTGCTTCTTCAAATGGGAGACCTTTGCCGACAAAGCCTTCTGGCTAGCCTCGAGCCCTTGAATATGCTCCTGTTTCTCCTTTCTTTCTGCTTCCTTTTTACTATGTTTCAATGTTAGTGCCTGCGGTTGACTGGCCTCTTGGTGTTGGTCCTGCTGGCCCTAGACCAGCTGCACACGGAGGTAAGCCACCTGCATTCGTAGCTAGCTTGTCCAGTTGTGGTTCTTAGAGTTACGCGCTGCCGTTGAAGCTCTTCTCTGTGGCTGCGTCGTCTGTTTTGCAGTTCAGCGCCCCTCTCCAGCAACTGCCCTTGAAACTTGGCACACTGCTGCTGCAGATCCTTGGGGCACTTCTGGTGATCCCCAAGCAGCCTGTTCATGTGACTGTGCTGCTGCGAGTCCTCAGACAACTTGTTCTCCAGAGTACAGACCTTGTCCTCCAGTTCAGAAATGTGGTGGTCCTTCTCAGCAATCATGATGGTGGCCTTAGACTTGAAGCAATCCAGTTCAGCTTCAAAAGCAGCCTTGGCCTTCTCAAGGTCACGAGTGCGAGTTTGCTCTCCGCCCGCCCTGCTTCTAATACTCATCTGTCTCCGCATCCTCATTTTCGGCGTCTACACCCCAGCCTGCCTCCTCCCAGCCTGCAGCACCGTCTTTCTCCGCGCAATAGTCTCCTTCTATGCGCTCTTCGGCCTCTGCCTCCACATGAATGTGCTGAACGTCGTGGTGCTTTCTTCCTTTTCCTCTTCCTATTATCAACATCACCATGAGCGCCATTGGCAGCTCTTTCTCGGGCCGCAGTGCCATCTCGTTGCGTGGCGTCTCCACACATGGCGACCACCTCCACGCCTACCTCGGCTACGTCTCATGCAACCTGTCTACACCAACAGGCCTCTGCCACACCTCTGTGAAACCCGCCTGCCTCCTTGGCGATGATGGACACGGTCGGAGTGAACGGCTCGGAAATTTGCGGAGCAAAGCAAGCAAGCTCCTCAATGGAAGAAAACGAGAGGCCAAACAGGTGCAGCTGGAAAAGGGGGTGGCATCACCCCATTACGTGCAAGACCTTAACGGCCTCATGAGCAGTGGGGTCCGCCCGACGAAAGAGCTCCTGCATGACCCGAACATAATCTCGCACACCCTCCTGTGGGTGTTGCGTTCGAGCATCAAGCTCATAGCAAATACGGTAGTCGTAAATGACCAGCAGAAACTCTTCTCAGAATGCCACGATGAACTGGTTCCAGGACTGAAAGGGAGGTTTAAGACACTGCCACCGTTCTGCAGCACTGCGCAGGGTAACTGGGAGGACCTGCCGGGGCACGTCGGACTCTGAGAAGCCGCTAACGGTCGCGTGTACAAAAAGATCGTCAATGAAGTCGATGACCGATTCCCGCGCGTCTTGGCCGGAAAAGGTGGGCACAGTCAGGGCCATGATCGCACACTGTCTCGATGTCTGTGGCTAAAGGGCAGAGTTCTTCCCGTTGGGAGCCAAATGTGGGGGTTTCAAGACTGCTCAACCCAGAATTCTGCAGAGAAGATGCAGAGCCAGACCAGGAACCTTGTTTATTCCTCTAAGCCTTGGCCACAACTGCCTGCTGCCAGCGGCAGCTGCGTACCCCGAGCGCACCAGCGATCGTCATTGTCCTCCTTTTTCTACAATCGGCACGCTTGCGGCCACTGCTCCCACAAGATCTAACAACAGACAAGAACTAATTCATCAGTCAGTGATACGCCACAAAGAAGCACAGACATGCACTCATGTGAGCAGTTAATTTCTAAGTATATGGCAATAACATGTGGTCCTATTTATTCCCCAAACTGTGCTTATTTACTTGGGAGAGGCAACGCAATTAAGATTAAAAGTAGTAATTCTTATTTGCTTGCGGTTCTGTCACGAACCCATGAGAGCATCGTTTGCAGCTTGCCCAAGAGCTCCAGTGCCGTGTCTGAATTCTCATGTGCCGAGAAATGCTGGTGTTTCATTTTTTTTGCGTCTCTAGCAAATTTGCTTTGGTTCTGCAACACACTGTGATCACTCGAGGCTGACTTCTGCTAGCAGCGATAAAAACCAGGGGCTCTCAGTTCGAATTAACTATGGTGACAGCCACATATACCTTGTTTTAAATTAACTGTTGTGGGTACCAATGTGTTCAAGTTATCGGGAGTTTCTACCCATTGAAATAAACAGGGCTGTGCCAGGGTTTCACTGCGAGTTGACTGTAAATTAATGTTAACAGAGTTGAAATTAACACGCTTTTACTGTATAATAATTCTTGCTATTTAACTTCCCAAAACTATGATGGGATTACGAGGGGCACCATTGTAGACAGCTCTGAAAGTATATAGGCTACCTTATTACGTGTCCTTCAGTGCAGAGGCCTCAATCATTTTGACCTCCGCCAAAAATGCGATTCAATCTTCAGGTCACCAGTGAAGAACCACTAGAACACCGTTGTGGGGGTTATTCGAAACTTTGGAGAAGCATGCAACCAATGAGGTCTTCTTTCCACTTTTTTTTATGGCTGGTGAGCTCGATTATGCAAAAAATAGTCGCCTCATGTTATTTTCATTTTTGCGTCCTCTCAACAAGCGGTCAATGGACGGCAAGACCAGTGGCAGTTTCGTTAATGTTTTTAGAAAAGTGTCATAACCTAATGTCAAGCTCTTTTTCGTTAACAAGAAGTAACATGATTAGGTCTTTGAATGGCAAAGTGCAAGCAAGGAATTCGTTTATTTGGGCTTGCCGAAAACATATGCATGTGCTCTCACATTGAAAACAGATGGTGCATGTACCACGGCGCACGCGATAGGTATGAAGAACGAAATCCTAATTTTTTCCCAAGGTCTGTAGACCCAATCTTATCTTTAAAAAAAACGTTCTCGATATCACAAAAGTCACATATAATGCTCAATTTCTCTCTACTGAAAAAAGACATTCACAAGCATGACAAATAACTACTTTTTTGAAGTTCAAAACTATCACATTTACTTTCAAGGTCGCCAGGCACTTGTAGACTTTTTACATGTCGTATTCCACATACCCTTTTTCATGGTGCTTCTGAACTCAGATTCTGAACTCATTAAACGACTAGCAGTAA